GAAAAAAAAAATGCTGACCTATTAAATCATGGACTGCAAATAGTAATTCATCTGTGTCACAAAGCTTCTTCCAGAGCATCTCAAACTGGAAAATTTAATGAGAAGACAGCATCACCACATCAGATTCAATTTAGGTTTGGACTATAAGGGCAAATAAAGGCCACATATTCCTGCCAAGGCTCAGGATGCAACTAAATTCTTCTTTTTTTTTTTTTTTTTAAGTGATGGAAGTAGATACAACCTGAAATTAACCAAGAGCTGTTTAAATGTAGCAACTTCACCTAGGAAGAGCCAAAAGCTGAAAAACACACACTGAATCATCATTCTCAACACCTCAAGAAACACCTCACCTTGGCAAGACAAAATTAGAAAAAGTCAGTGGTAAAAGCCTTCCTACAAGCCTACTCTGATTATAATGCCAAGCATAGACCTTTGAAGATCATGCTGCCTTCTTCCCAGCACTGTTCAGGTTTGATTGTGATGGAGGAGACATTTTTTATATCAGTATTATCACAGCAAATGATGAAGAAGCTACCAAGGCTCTGGTATGGCATCCAAACCTCTACCATAAAGTTAAGCCAAAGTTTTTCTGCAGTGGCTTTGGGGTGGTGTTCTGCTGCTAATGCAGCAGACCTATTTTTACCAGACCTCACTATAACAAGACACCAAAAAAATAGTTCGTTAGTGTATAGAGGAGTGAAACAGAGAAACATGGGATGACCTCAAATAAATACAGGTCGCTAACGGTTTTAAGAGAGAACTAACAAGATAATTGAGCCTTTTTTATACAGTATGTTGTAAGGAAGAGACTGCCAAAACATGCAAGTATCTGGGAATTAGAAATCGCAGCCACTAACCACAGGATTTGTAAGTTTTGCAGCTGTTTTCCCCCTTTCTCACAAGAACAGCACTGCATTCTGCCAAAGGATATTCCCCAGGCCTCTCTCTTTTTAAAGTCTCTAAAAAGCAACCTGTTTGGCCAGGGTGAGCATTTTTATCAGCTCTGACAGTGGAGAGAGACTGATGGATAGCTCTATCCCGTCTTTTCCAGAAAGTCTGTCAGAATGGCCACATGTCTGTCTGCCACTGCAGCCCATACAGAAAAAGCTCTCCTTCTGCTCTGTCTTGCTCCATCCCTTCTGATGGACTTGCCAAGCAGAGGTAGAAAATTCTCTGAGCATACTCTTGTGGTAAGGAAACCACACAGAGGAAAACAGAAGACAAAATGTTGTGTAAATAGTTCAGTAGGACAGGGTGGCTGCAAAACTGTGCTTTACATCAAAGGTAAACTGTAGAGCTGAAACGCTACATCATCTGTGGATTTGGCTTATAGTCAGAGCAACTCAGTGGGGAGTTATGCATACATCTGAGAGAAATTCCTTTGCTAGCAGGATCATTTTTTTGGCTCAAATGACATAGCGCCATGAAGAGAATAGAATGACACTAATTTAGCAAAACACTTTAAACAAGGAACACAAAGAGGCTTTCTTACTTTCGGTCCATGTCAGAAGCAGCAGCATAGTGCAAAGGGGTGCGTCCCCAGTCATCTGTTTCATTAGTATTGGCTCCTGTTGTCACCAGTGTCTCAATACAGTGGAAGTGACAATTTGCAGCTGCATAGTGCAAAGGTGTCCTGGAACATAAGTGACAATTTGTTACTTCATATTCCAATATGCACCACTGAGGATAACGATAAATCTTAATTGCTGCATTCCTACAGATTTCCAGCCATCAAGATCAGCGCCTTATGTTCCTGTGATGAAATGCAAAGTTATGGAAATTTAACACAATATTGTGTTAACAGGAAGTTTTGGTGCTCCTATAAAGCCTAGCAGGACACAGATCATCAATCTGTGTCTTGCAAACAACCTATTCCCAGTAACAGCCTCTGCTGTTGCTCTGCATACACGCCACTTTTCAGGCTGAGCCAAGCACGGTGTCCCTTGCAGCATCTTATTTAGCTGGCATAGCAACACTTTATATGGGGAAGAAAAACCTCAAGGAAGCACACCAAATAGCAGCAATCCTCCCAGCTGTTGTCTTGGGTACACCAGCACAAGAATTTAGGCAATAAGGGAAGCAATAAGGAAAAAAAATAAACCTGTGATATTTTTACAACAGAAAACTCAAGAGGGCAGGATGGCTTTTCTGTATTTAATGAAGTCTGCACCTGTCTGTCCGGCATGTAACTGCAGCAGCAAGAGTTCTGCCAGGAAGGCCAAACTCTTACTTTATCTTACTGTCATTTTTCATAGAACATATGATTTCCAGACTGAGGTGCTCTTTCTTCTTTGCCTGCTAGATTCTTTTTTTTTTTCTTTTCTAAATGAGCTTCATAATTTACCTACCTCCCACATTTGTCCTTCTTATTAAAATCTGCTCCACTGCTTTGCAAGAGTTTTATACATTCAACATTACTGGAAAGAGAAATAAAGAAAACAAAACATGAACAAAACAGAAGTTTACATCTGTGTTGCCCTCTGCCCCCAAAAAGGAAAAAGTTACTCTAACTATTTTGGTATTATTTGCCGTGCAAAAACAGGGTACAGCCAACTACAACGTGAAATTCAGTCAAACAGAAAATGAAGCTTTAAAAAACAATTTATTTTTTTTCTAGAAAACCTCAAACTTCTCTTCTACAGAAGAAAGAAAAATTAATTTTCCAAAGAAAGCACAGTAAATGTGATGTGAATTCAGTGTGTCTGAAGATTTTCAATGGGAGTTATACTCTAATGCTTCCGATACTAAACTGGTATCTTATGAGACACTTTAAAAGAAAGTTGATTCTAGCTTTAAAAATGCCAGTCTAATAATGAAGAGGTGACATTTAACGAAATCTACCCCCATTCAGCAAAGCATTCAACAGCAAGTACTTTGCTCAAATCCTGTTTACTTAATGAGATTTAATCACAGGAGTTTCTTTTAGGTTTTTTCTCATATGATTTGTTGACTATTGATAGATTTAAGCGCACATCTAAGGGCTTTGTTGAATAAGGGGCATAGCTATTTAGAGTGACTGTCATATCAATATTACATTTACATAAGTGGATGAGTTGAACTCCATTGCTTTGTATCTGCTGAAAGAATTCACCACATCATAGCTGCTTCTTCATCTTGTTTAAATCCAGGTGATTTTTAATAGAAAATAAAACAGCTGAATTCTCACATCTTTCATAATTCAAGCGAATAAATGTGTGACTCCAAGCCAGAAAATGACATAAAGAAGCGCAGCACTTGCCAAGACTCCTTGTCATTCACAGGGGCAATAAATCGTTTGTGTTCACAATCAGATGAGCAGGCCTTTGAAGTATGTTCTTCTCCTAGTACCCATGCAACTCCCATTAATGTAATGGGAGTAACAGGCATGCGTCAGGAAAAAAAACTAATGCCTTTTGTATAGCTCCAGCTCCAGGAAAAAAAAAGACAGGATGCAATATGTTGGCATATGTTCATCCCTACTCTAAACTGCTATTGCATAAAATAGCTACAGAACACTCACCACAACATACTAAAAATAAAAACACTTGTTAGTGATGACAATTGTAGTAAACCACTGGAAAAATATGGTTTATTTTCATAAGCCACTTTTGCTTCTTATGAAGCCTCTCCTCTTTAGGACTTCCATCTTGTTTTTATTATTCTTTTGGGGTGCAGCTTTATTGAAGGGTTGGCATCTAAACTATACTATAATAATCTCCATCCAAGCAACAGTCATAGCTCCTCTATTAATGTGAGACAAGTATCAAGAAAAGTATTACCATAAGAATAATTAAAACAGTATTTTAAAACAAATTTCATCAGTTTTTTGTAATAACAAAAAACTTTGTGATATGCATTTTGGTCCACTGAGAAGAAAAAACAACTTCCAGAAAGACTGGCAAGTATTTGCTGTGGATAACCACAGAGAATCCAAGCTGGGTTCTAGCCAAGGCTCCATTTCAGTTGTTTTCTGAGCCATAAAGTACTCAACGGAAGAGTCAAAACTCAATGCTTGCCAAATGTTTTGTCCTTTTGCTAGGTTAACTTCACAGCACTCCACTGACAACTATTTGGAAATATTTAAACTAACTGGATGCTACATTTACAACTTAAATTGACTTATTTCAGTTTTCATTTGTTTCCATTGCTGGCCTCCCAAACACTTATCCGGGATGCATCACCCTGAGAGAACGACAGTCCTTTGACTTTCTAATTTGGAGGCTGGGGATTGTTTGGTCTGAGCTTGTTTGTTGTTGTTGTTGTTTGGAGTTGTTTTTTCTTTTAGAAACTTTTAAACCTGCACCTGAAAAATGGGAAAGAGGGAGTTGAGCTGCATTTGGACTCAAGGGTTGCAATCTGATGGGCATTGTTGCGTAGTTGCATTTTCAGACAAGGACACACTCCAAAGGTGGAGGCCAGGAATAATTCCCCTGCCAGCAAGCAGCATCTCAGGAGCTACAGCTCCTCCTCCTCACTCGCTTTGCCCTAGGAACTGATGATTTTCTGC